AGAGAAAAGGAAAGAGGGGAGAGAGAAGGGAGGGAGAGAGGGAGAGTGTGGGGGAGAGTTCTCAAGAGATTTAACGCGAATCCCTCGGACCTTTCGGTAGGATCTAGTGGAAGCGGCACAAGTGCGAGAGAATCGTACTGTAGCAACGTGTGGCAGGGACCGTGTGATGGTAGTGGTGCGCAGCAGCAGCTGACAGACGGCCGGGACACGAGATATAATAGATATTTAATCGGATCTCGAAGTAGACAGACTTCACAATGATTCGAATATTCACCGATACCTTCAGGAGCCTGATCAGTGAGTGTCACACGCTTTTTATCCGCTATATTTCACATTTAGCTCTAAATTATTATTTAATATAATCTGGGCGGGTCCACACAGATAGTAAGAATAGGCCCTGTTACTTTATCTAAATTTCTTACATGATTTATCTCTTTATCTCTTTTCTTCAACTTAATGGAAAGGAGAGAGAGGAAGGGTGAACCGTGGTACAAGAAATTCAGTTAAAAAGGAAGATCACAGATCTAATGTAAACACGCGAAAAGTCATCATGTGTCATCTCTTTCTAAATGTAAAAACACACTGAAGAAAATATAAACAATTGAATCTTTGCTATTTTAAATGACCGAAATTAAGTCACAATTGTGACATAATTTTCTAATTTTAAATAGAGCTCGATACAATGTCGAGCTCTATTAAATTTCTTTAGCTGAGACTTGATCAGTGTGATCTATCGAACTGCATTAAATTTTCGCAAAGCATTGAGAAATAATTGCAATTAAACCGCTATTACCCGAGAATGAGTTATGACAAGTAATCAGCTCAGTAATAATTTCCAGGTAATAAAAATTCCGAGATAATTAATGCACATCAATATAGCTGATATACTATTCTCATTGAGAATCGAAAATTAATAAGAATGATATATCAGTTATATAAAAACATTAATAATGCTAGGTAAAAATTGATATTCGCACTCCTCCATATTTACAATATTTAATTTTATTCGACTATTACTCTCCATGAAGATATGGATTTTATTATTTTTATTATGATATTTCGAACTTTATTTCATCATCATGAATTTCTGAGAGGAAGAATATCGTATTATATCCTTTTTTTTCTCGTATATCTAACGTAAGCCTCTTGCGTCAAAGGATAATAACGATAATTGTTCATCCCGATAGCAATCGAGCCCGCAACGGGATGTAAAATTCCGTTGATTGGGATAAAATCGATTAGAGCGCCGTTTCCCACTTGGAAAAAAAATTGCACAAAGGAAATTAGTTCGTCTGTGCGACAGTGGCAGAATTAAATTTCGCTGTCGCAAAAAACGACAGTTCGTTCGTTGTTTGCGCGGCTGACGTTAAATTATATGTTGATTCAGCGAGGTCCCAGCGCAAAGTGAAGTCCAACCGTTGTTTTTACGAAGAAAGATGGCTTTTCGAAAAAACCCACTTTACGTTCTTGAGATTAGATTAGGATCGATTTTAATTGTAATAAAAATATTACATTAAATCAATTGTAATGTAATTCTAATTTAAGGCCAGGGCCAGTTTATTAGAATTATCCAAACTGGATAAAAAAAATGTAAATAATCGATTTAACGAACAAAATTCCTATATAGGAATTTCTAACGTAACTTCAGATTCCTTTTTATCAAAGACGGAACGAAGGGAGGAGGTTTTTAATACTTTAATCGCTGTTGCAATTTTCAAAGGCAAACGCATTTATGGCTGTTATAAGTAAGCGTTTCTCCTGACTAGACAATTTTCCGATATAATCACCCATAGCTGACCTTGCGTGCAACTCGCTTCACTCTTTCTGCACGTGGTATACGTGACTGATGTAACGTACGAAACGACCGCATCCCGTACGCTCTGGAGTTCTCTCCCTTCCCTTTTCCGACTTTAGACCGACACTCGTGTAATTCAGTAATGCAGCGCGACATGTTGTACGACCGGAGTTTGTAATTTTGTCATCGCTATACAATTATTCGAAAATTACAAATCGTTCTCTCCTCGTTTGACTTGTCGATTGTTCTTTAACGAAAAAATACAGACTTGTACGTACGACGATTTTGTTGACACTTCGTTTCATCGGAAAATGGCAAAAAAGTCATATTTCTAACTAGATCTAGGGAATTATCAAAAGGCGGTTTTCAATAACCATAAAATAATTTTTATATATTTATTATATTTATTATATTTATAGTCAGATACGCATTTTCATATATATTTAACGTATATAAAAAGTTAACAAACAATCTGTGTAATACACGATTTGCTTCTTTAAATGTGGAAGTTGATCGAGGTTTGATCAAGAAAAAGCCGTCTAATTCGTCTTGTCCATATCGCTAGAACGAACTTCCGTTTTTCATGCTCGCTCTAAAATTAATTTTTTCCGAGAAAGAATGACGTAATTCACAACAGCGCTCGCATTGACATTATTCAGCTCTTGTCTGACTATACTAAAGAACTTGGACTTTGGACCGTCACGGAATTATTGTTACAAACATGAGAAGAGTACAATAACCTATGAATATATGCTGATGTAAAAAAGCAATATCTTGGTTTCGAAAACATTTCAAATTTATGTCTTTTCTCGCGTTTTTTAACGCAGAACTTGTATGATGGCCTCCAAATATTTACATGCAGTACACCTTTCTGATATTACACTTGTGTAAACGTAGTTTGAAACTTTCATTGACATTTATTTCTATCATGTTTGCAAAATAAATCTTAACGTGTCTTAGACAAATGCACTTTAACTAAGTTCATTGAAAACCAATGTTTTCAGAATGTGTTTTGTCAGAATATATTTATATTCATAGATTTTACTAACTTTTGGAAACAATTTTTTTACAAAGCTTTTCTTGCATTATTTTTCAAAATATTTATCATCTTTTCTTTAATCTCTGAGAATTCTTGAATTGATGTAATTCTTTAGCCTCCAAGTAAGATAAATTTATATAAGAATGTATCTAATATAATGTCTAATATGTTTATTAAATATATATCAAATATATATATATATATATAAATTAATTTTATATATTAAATAATAATAATTTATATATTAAATAATATTTATAAATAGATACATTAGATACATTTATTATATTGAATCTTTGTTAGAATAACAAGTAGTTCGATGCCTATGATAAGCGATTAGTGATTAGATTGATACCGGATTCAAATCCAATCCTTACTCTAAAACAACAGATATTGAAAAACAAATGATGAATCATGATGAAGAATTTAGATCTATAGGTAATATCAAAGTTATATTAATATCACTCGAAAATTTCATGATTACACGAATAGATTCTTCGTAGTTATTCCACGAAACAATTCCGAATCGTATTAAAAGCATTGAAACCACTAGTTATCCTTTTTCATCGGCTACTCAGAGATTAATTGTATTATGAGGATGATGATGCTATCGACAATTGGCAACTATTGACGACGAACGAAAATCCTTCCACAACATTAGAAAGCGTTTCAGTACGTTGCGTTGCAACGGTGTTCGTTTAACCATGTTTAAAGAGGCAATAGAGTGATATTTTTTTATTAATAAGTAAGGTACCATTACTTTGGAACTTATTTTCATTGATATTGAAAAGTGGATTGTTATTTATTAAATTTTATTTCCATTTATAAATTTACAACATTCTGAACTCTAAATTCATTTTACAAAAAT